TCTTGTTTGTTTTTCACAGCTATCTACGAGCAGTCATGTGAAGCTTATAAACACAGAGGGAATACCTCAGGGTTTTATTATATAGATTCCGATGGAAGTGGTCCTCTGAGACCATTTCTTCTCTATTTTCACATGACTGGTAAGCTCATCAACCTTCACTTAATAGTTAAATCTGCATGAATACTTTACCTACACAAAATGAAAGTGATCTAAGTAGGAAGTTGATCTAATTTTGCAACTTGATTAAAATGTGTATTGTTCAGTTACACAACAGAACGTAACTATTTAATACATTAGTTGATTGGTAACGATTTCAAATACTGTCATTTTATATGCATGTGTTGTCTGCATAGAACATCTAATCATAAATGTTTTCCATTAAATCCTAAAACAAAACAGACTTTATTTGTTAGAGCAGATTGATGTACATAAAAGCTTTGAGAAATATTTACTTTTTGAATGCATATAAACATGAACTTTGTATTCTACAACTTTTTACTTGTGCAAATGCACATAAATATTAACAGTCATGGAAACTGTGATGAAATTCAGCATCATTCATACTCAAGAAGAAAATGACACTACCAATAGAATAGAATTCCTTTAATTTGATAAAATACCCACAAAACTTATAGCTTATGTAAATATGTAGTCAAATATGGGAAGTTTTTTCAGTTATAGAATTAGTATCCTTTATACATCACTGAATTGGATCTCAGCCAGTGTGATAATGCAGGGGAACAAAGTAGAAAAATATAAATATGGGAAAGAAAGACCTATAATTCTTGTTATTTATAGGTGCCTAGGTTATGTATGGGAAATCAGTATGGAGATTCCTCAAAAAAGCAAAACTAGAAATTCCACTTGACTCAGCAATTCCCCTCTTGATATCTTTCTAAAAAGTTAAAGACTTCATATTACAGTGATACATGTGTGTCCATGTTTACAGCAGCACAGTTCATTGTAGCTAAATCTTGGAAGTGGCCTATTGTCCATCAACAGAGGAATGGATGAAGAAAACATGGTAGTATAATGTAGTACTACTTTGCCATAAAGAAAGACAAACTTGAGTAATTTGTGGGAAAGTGGATGCAGCTTGAGACCATAATGTTAACTGAAATAAATCAGACACACAAACTTTGTTATATGAGAAACTCAAATTATAAATAAGGAGTAAAATGAAAGATAGATAATAGAAAGTATAGAGATAAATCTTTCTCAAATTGGGAGGGGAATCAAGAGATGAAAGGAAGGGAAGCAGGGTAAGGGTGAAAAAAAAAAGCAATTAAGATGTGTTTTGCACATGTACCAGCTCCACACATTAATGGAAACACTACATACTAGAAACATGGACTGATAAAAAAATTTAAAAGAATATTTGAAATGATATACAGCAAACTATTCTAATTTTAGATTATCACTGGATACAAAATCAATACAAAGTCAATTTTATTTCTATATGCCAGCATTAAGCAATTAGAAAATGACATTTTAGAAGGTTGCATTTTCTGCAGCATTAAAAATCTCAAACACATGTAACAAATGGAATGAAAGATATAGAAGGCTTCTGCACTTTTAACTACAAAATACTACTGAAATCTGTTAGCATCCTATATAAACTGAGTTAATATAAAATTTTCACTGGTTAGAAAAAGCAACATTGTAGAACATCAATTCTTCTAAACTTGATCTTGATTTAATACAAATCTAAATTAAGATCCAGCAGAATGTTTGTTTGTAGGTTGGTGTGATTACTGTGGTGAAAATGGGTAAGCACATCCTAAAATACCTGAGCAAATATAAAGTGCTAAGAAGGATCAAGTAGGTTTGAAGAACAGAGCTGAAGAATTCAACTCTATTGGATTTGAAGACATTATACTGATAGGCTGGATAAAGCACTATGCAGTTGGTAACAAAATCAGTAAACATATCAATGAAACAAAATAATGTATAAACAATTCATTTGGGGCTGGGGATTTAGCTCAGTGACACAGCGCCTGCCTGGAAAGCACAAGGTCATGAGTTTGATTCCCGGTACCAAAAAAAAAAAAAATTCACTCACACATGGATAATTTATTTTTTGTCAAGGTGGTAAGATGTGCAGTGAAAGAAAGATGATCTTTTCAACCAGTAATACTGGGGGAAATGAAATATAAAAACCAAGTAAAGAAAACTTAATCCATTCCTTATCAAACACAAATAGTGAATTCTGAATGAACGATGCTGTCCAGTAGGGTTGTCACTTGCAACGAGTACCTACTTAAATTCTAATTTAATTAAAATTAAATGAACTTGAATACATTTTAAAACCCAAACAAATAAGTTAATCAGAATAAGATTAAATGAAACGTGCAGCTCCCGACTCTCCTTGGCCCCATTTTCACCAGCTGCAGCTTCCTGTGGCTGATAAGGACTGTTCTACTGATCATCACTGGTGTAGAACATTTCCATGTTGCAGAAAGTTACTTTGGACAGTGCTGCTTGAGGGAGTCCAAGTTTTATGGAGCAAAACAGCAACCACAATGAGGGCAGTATTAGGTTGGGGCTGGCACTGCGGTAGAGGAGGATTGCTGCTGAGAATCCAGGCGTAACTTGCTGCAGAAAGAGCCTGCCAGGTAGAGGCAACAGCAAATGCCAGCTCCTGAGACAGGTGATCTTGTCAAATGTGTTCAGAAAATAGCAACAAATCCAGGGTAGCTGGGGGATGGGAAGTAGTAGCACGGGAAGAGAGTGTCAAGGAGCAAGAGCAGAGAGGGGACGGGTCATGGGATTCTTACAATAACATGGTCAGGTTCTTGGCTTTTTGCTTTGTATGCAGTGAGAAGATGCTGGAGGTTTTAAGCAATGGTGGGGTGCAGTCTGACGGCCTTTAATGCGATCAAATGGCTCCTATGCTGGGAAATGCCTATCCAGGAGCAGGGCTGCAAAGGAAGGAGGAGACTGTACAGACGGAATAGGGGTTAGGGAAGCTGTCAGGAAACCTCTTCAAGTAATGCAAACATGCAGGAAACAGCTGTGATGGCGGCTTCTTGCCCTGAGCAGTGCCAGTGCAGATGGCGAAGCGGGTTAGAGCCGTGCCCCGAAATAGCGATAAGACGTGAGAAAATACCATGGTCCGGGGTTCGGATGACTAGAGAATGTGAATTGCTATTATTTGAGGTGGGGCCAGGAAAGGTTTGAGGGGAAAGGTTAGAAATCTGTTTTATATGTTGTGAGTTGGAGATGTGTATGGTACCTTCAAATGCAAAGCTAAGGAGGCAGCTGAGTGGGGGGCAACACTTCCTTCGTACTTATGTCATTCTGAAAGCCACAGGGTGGTGGTAAAACCTGGGGTGCTGATCTCTCTTTCTGTCTGTCTGTCTGTCTCTCTCTCTCACTCTCGCTCTCTCTCCTCTCTCTCATGGGGCACGACTCATTATAGAATCTATCTTTAGAGATTTTTATGTAATGCACTTGGTGGCTCTACTAACACAACCATTGAGGAAACTACCCTGTGGACCAAAAGAATCTAAAACATTCTGTGGTTCCCGCCTGCTTGCCTTCTAATGAAGCTTGCATTCTACGGGACTCAAATGCCCAGTTAGCGCCCTGGGAGCTATGACCTCAGTGACTGAGGAGTGCATGGATCCAATGTGTTAGACTATCTTCCTGAGTGGTTCCAATGTGGACACTGGTTTGAAATTACTATTTGTCTGATTTTTATATGCACAAATGGCTCTGTTAAGTATAATAAATTGAAAGGACTTCACAAAGAAAAGAAAAGAATAAAAACTAAACAAGAAAAGAAAAGAAAAAAGAAAGCTTTGTTAACAGGTGTTGTGGTACATGCCTGTAATACCACCAATTGGGAGGCTGAGGCAGGAGGACTGCCATGAGTTCAAGGCCAACCTGGGCTACAGTGAGCTCAAAGATATTCTTAATTACAGAGTGAGACCTTGTCTCAAAAAAAAAAAGAAAAAAAAAAGAGGAAGCTTTGTTAATATAAGATAGGAATTCAAGGGATTTAGCTCAGCGGCAAAAAGCACTTGCCTGGCAAGCGCAAGGTCGTGAGTTCGGTTCCCGGTACCGGAGAAAAACCAAAAAAAAAAAAAAAAAAAAAAAGATAGGAATTCAAGTGTCAAAGAATTTCTATTCAGGTAGGTTGGATATGAGTGAGATTTAACAATATACCACTACACACCTGTGAAGCAAGTAGGCAAATTCTATGTTGCCAAAAGTGTATCTTGCATTGTTCATGTACACATGTAACACAAAGTTTAGTTGTGAAACTTAGATACATCTAAGTTGATAAATATCTCTGTCTTTAAGAAGCACACACACATACACACAAAGCTGATTCTCCTTATTTGTAGTAATTATGTTCTACAAATTCACCATGGACACTGGATTAGCAAATACCAGACTTTGGCTCCTAAGGGAAAATCCAGTAAGATTAGGTGCCTCTGTACCTGCAGTAACGATATTCTCATCTATCAATAAATACTTCATCTTGTTTTATGTGTAGTTCAGGTTAAAGATGCTTTATGTAATATACACACATGTGTGTAACTCATTAACATTGAAGTCACCACCAAATTCTTGTATATCACCCTGCTCACCACAGCCCTTTGATACTTAGGGACACTCCAGAGCACCCCAGCAGTATCAGATGTCCATTTTAAACAATAAAAGCATCAACCTGAAGCACAAAGGTGTCAAAAATGTGTTACAAAATGGATCACAAATAAGACACCAGTTTACAAACTGAGAGCTGAAACCGAGACAGGACACCCACTTGTTCAACTTCGGCTGAGGTCGTGTATATTGGATACACATACTTTCTGCTGCTCTGTGCATGTCTGCAAATGACGGCCAAAATGTTGTGGTTAGAAATATGTTTAGCAAGTAGGCAAATTCATGAAAGATGAGTGTCCCTATCTGTCTTTTATATTTACTATGGGCAATAATTCAGTAATGTATTGGCTACATTACTGAATTACATCTGAACTACATCTGCAAGATGTTAAGGGCAGAGACCCAGGTATTCTGTGGAACAGGGCATGAATCTAGAAGTTCTGGAATATGAAAACATATTCAAACACAAGTGACAGTGCCAGGGCACACCAACCTTAGGAGTTATAGCTTCACACTTGCCTCATGCCTCAGGTTTTGCAAATGGGGAAACCTGGACTCAGACTGGAACTACAGCAGACTAAAAATATGAGAGGAGACAGGTAGGTCAAGAAACGGACCCTTGGTTTTTTTGTTCACCATGGGAAGTTTTCCCCACTAGGAAGGGTATCTTCGATGAAGGTCTCATTACTTGTATCTCCTAGTTATCCAACCCAGTGTAGCAATTGCTAAACCCAGGAAAGAATGCTGAGTCAGCAACTTGCAAATGTGTACGCGAATAAAAAAACCAAAACTAGAATTATTGTCTTTCAAATGATTTTGCATGGATTAAAGTACCTCCAAGCATTACAAGCTAAACAATATAAACAAAACAATCTATTTTGAATGGGGAATTTCCCAAACGATGCTAAAGGCTGAAATTTCTTTGTGAATAGAGTATTCTAAATGTGGTTTAAAAATACTGAGGATGAGATGCATCCCGGTGGTTGTCCCCATTCAGAGGCAGAGGGTTGTTCTCTTCTACACTAAACTGACTGCATTTTCTGTAATATGATAGTTTTATGTTCAAGATAGTTTCTCATCATCAAACATTACATTGTAAGTACAATTGTTACAGTATGAGGAATTGGTGAGCACTAGAACACTGGCTTTTAAGTTTAGAGAAAATGTGCGTTAAATTCACCCCTTCCCTCTACACCATTACTGAGGCACTTGGGTTTAGTTTTCCTGACTCAGTAAGTTTAGAGTCCAAGGTCCAAGTCTCTATATTAGTGACAAATACCCCATGTGCTTCTACAATAAGACATATAACATAATGGTTTTTACTTTGAGATTTCAATATTAAAGCCTTCTTAATAGCTAAGCAGTTAAGAATTAACTCTCACTATTCTGATGTACCCATGTGGTTTGCCCCAGAATATTCACTCTTCTTCCCTTTCATCCTTCCTGCGTTCCCTAATGCAACTCTTCCACCTGTTCTTCAGGTCTTTATCACATCTGTCACCCTCAGCTATTAAGCATGAAGCGCCACAGCTTTGCAACTAACTGTGTTGCTTAAACAGCATATTTTTTCTTTACACTGTTATCACGCTAAAAAATAGCAGTCAGCCTAAGGTAAATCAAGTTCTTAATTACTCAGTAGCTTTATTTACAATTCGTATTATTAGAAATCTCTTCAGGGAGAGACGCCCGTAAGCCCAAATTACCATCCTATTTTTTAAACTTCATAGATTTTTCTGTCTGTTTCAGCAATCTCTTCTTATTCATTTCCTCCTGTCCCCTTAGCCCACCACTCTTGTTGCATTTAGGAAAGGATAATTTTCCAGAAAGCAAAATCTTGACTCTATAGGAATCTCAAAGACAATGGCAACTGATGGGTAATAAACATCTTCTCAATGTTTGTTATACTAATTTGTTTACTATAGTAACTCAATAGTATTTTACTCTTTTTAGAGATATGTTTCTGTTTTGTTTTGTTTTGTTTTTTCTGGTACCTGGAATTGAACTCAAGACCTCATGCTTGCCAGGAAGGACATATGTTTCATTTGAATAGTTATCAAAGTTTTATACTGACTCTATATGTAAATTTAAATTCTATGTAAGTAATTGAGAAATAGACAAGAAAGAAGAGTAGAAAAATAAAGGTATTAGTCACAGAAGAGTTGTAGAAATTCTGATGTTAGCTCTGATGGAGTAACTAGAAGTAAACTAAGCTCATCAGTGTGGACAATTGTACCACTGGTTAGACTATATGAAAGAATTCCTTGTAAGCATTAAAGGTAGATGGAATAAAATTGTGACTGATGAGAGGAGGAAATCAAATAAGGTGTATTTCAATAAAGAGTCCCTCAAAGATGAAAATTTCAAAAAATATTGCATAATAATATACTTTATATATTTCATATTAAGTTATAAAACATGTAATATTGCATAATAATATATTATGTATATAATAATGCACAATAATACATTTTATATATTTCACATTAAGTTTTTAAACAAATTATTGTATATCAAAAAGTACAATATAAGTAATGTATATCTTTATATTACGTGTTATTTATACCATAATTCAAACTTCAATAAATTTTTATAAAATGTAAAAAAAAAAAAAAATATTGACTCTCATACAGATATGAAAGTAAGAGCTTAAAAACATATTTTAGAGAGATTGCAATTTATTATTAATGAAGAAATTGGTAAGCTTTTAAGCTTGTTCAAAGGAGAATCCAAAGAACAGAGACATGGATGCACAAGGCATATTAGAATGAGACCTCTGCCAGGTGGAAGCTGCTTGCTCATGCACAAGAATTACTAACTTGTAGGGATGCTTTTCTAAAAAAATGCTTTTTTAAAAAAAAGCAAAACAAAACAAAAAACCAAAACCAATCCCCCCAACCCCACAAAACAAACAAAACTGCAAACAAACAAAAACTAAAAAGCATAACAATCCTACCAACATAGGTTAAAGGATGATTAAATGTAAATGTGTTTTGGAAGTTAAAGATAGTAAATTCTCTAGGGAGATTTAAGGGTTTATCTCCTGCAGATGCACTGCCTACTCTGTAAGAGTAATAAAAGCCTCAAGATTTGTACCTCTTCCCTTGGAGGAGATTTGTTACCTCCCAGAGGCAAACTCTCTCCCTGACTATATTAGGGGAGCAGGTCCTGCAGTCACCCTCTGTCAGCCCCAAGCCTCCCGTACTGGCTGGCTCTCTTGGGGTGCAAGGACAGCATGCAGTGTTGGGTGTACCTGGCATGATGGAATCAGCCCACAGGAATCTAGGCTGTGAGGAATCCATGCTACTGAGATTCCCTGTAAGTAAACAGGCTCTGGTCCAAAGTCCTGTGTTTGTTAGGATATGTAGACAGGTGAATAAATAGAAAGATAGATACCCAGGACCAGGTAGATATAATCTGTATATGAGAGGAACAACTTATTAAATCAGATGTAGAGTAGCATCTCATTCCCTCCACAGTTTCAGACTTTGGTTTACGATCCTATGGATGACCTACAATTTATAGTTATAAAATAATTCAATGTCAGTGAAAGTTTCACAGCCACCATGGTTCAGAATCTGATAACTTGGAAGGATATGCTGGCATCTGGACACCACCTTGTTTTTACTGATTTGTGTGTTTATTTTTCGCTCCATCATGTATCTTCTGCATGTCGTGCCAATCCTTTGTGCTACTGGAAGGAGACACCATGGCTAGCATGTCAGAAACTGTTGGATGTGTTGGTACCTGCCTGTGATCCCCGCACTCTGGGAAGCTGAGGCAGGGTAGTTGAAGTCCATACGTATCCCAGGAAACTTAGTGACTTAGCACGACCCTGTCCCAAAATTAAAATAAAATAAATAAGAAAAGGGCTGGGGATATAGTTTAGTATGAAGGCCCGGGGTCCAATCATAGTAACACACACAGACACACAGACACACAGACACACACACACACACAGGAGGCTCTCCACGGCAATCTCCAGACCTTTCCTCATTAATCCCACATGAGAGGGGGCAACATGGATACAGGGTATCTCCTTCTATCGCTCAGAATCTCCTGTGATGATTTCATGGCATCTGCTTTGCCTTGGATGTCTAGATGGTCATAGGTGTGGCGTCTGTTTAACTTGGTCACAGTTTTAATTAGAAAATAACATTGCTTAAAGAAACTATCATATTGAAATATGTTAGAATTTCCAAAGGAAACATTTCTGTAAGCTGCCTTTTCATGGCTGCCATGCATCATGGCCTTGAGTTTCTTATCACACCCTAAAATCCCTTTAGAATCCTGTGCTAATTGCGAACCAGTGGATGTGAACTATAGAGAAGTTTCTCTCAGTGTGACCCAAAAGGCAGGAGACAAAGGCCTCAAGCTGCCTTATTGTCCTGCTCTTTTGGAGCTACCGGTGCACACCACTGATTCACCACAAGGAAAGGTGAGCAGTTATGCTCAACAATGCAAGCACAGTGCAGCAGAAGAGAGGCTGACAGAGCTGCCTGTTTAATAATAACCTTAAACTTCCAACAGCCATGGCTGAGTTGGCTAAAAAGAGAGAGTGTCCAACTGACTCTATTTGCCAGTTCTGCCAACTTATTTCCAAGTTTGGCAATTGAGGCTCAGATATTACTCGACTTTCCTAAGGACACAGATCCATGCCAGGTCTGCAAACACATCTCCTGAGGGCCTCTACCCTGTCCTGCTGGATGCCCACAATTAATTCCATTAGCTTATAGATCATGTCCTCTTTGAGAAAAGCACCGTACTGATAATGCTCGGGGGCAGCAATGGGGAACCTTTTAGAACTTTCAGTGATACATGCAGAAGGCTGCAACATGCATGCCGTGCTACAGGTTCACTAGCACTGCTCTAGGGGGAGCTGGAATGCAAGGAGGAAATAAAAATATTAGCTGTGGTTTCCCAAAAAGTAACAGTGCACACACAGAAGGCAACAAGGTTTCCCTGTCTCCTGCAGCTGACCTTGCCCTCCTGATGACTGAAGGAGGGTGGGAGTGAACATTTTCAAAGCCCATCTCCGTATCTTGTTTGCATTTTTGAGTCCTGTGAATGTGTTAATTTAAAAAGGTGGAAAAGCTCTATCAGCCATTACCGTTTTCTTCCAATGTGCAATGTTCCTGTGCCACAGAAGAGTTGTGATTTAACAGCAAACAAGTAGGAGAGTTTTGACAATTCCCACTCTGTTTGTGATTTATTAAACCAGAAGCCTTTTGATTAATCTGTTCCTCTGCCTGCATTTACTGGAGCAAATATAGCATGAAAAGGGGAAGTTGGGGATGGGTACAAATGCATGCAACTTCTGTTACACACACAGTGGGGTTTTACTTTCTTCTGAGTAATTTGATAATCAGAATGATGGAAGTGTTTATATACACTCAGGTACCAGCCTTGAAACTTTACATTCAGTGTTAGTTGAGTGGCTCTGTCCAATTTGTCCCTTTCCAAAGAGTAACTTCCCACTGCACTGCCAAACTATACAGATCACAGAGTACTAAAATGAATATGAAAATTTGATTTAAAAAGAAACAGATGTATACCC